GGAACTAGGCGACGTGGTTGCTTTTTTGGCTTTGCAACATGAACATGCATGAAAAACGTCTCTTCTCGCACAATTAATAAATATTAATAAGCAGTCCTTGTGCACGACCGACAACGTTGTCGGTCTACCCCTCTGGACCGACAGCGGACCGACAGTTCCTACAAACTCTGCGTGCGGGGGCGCTGGCTACACAGCAAGCGCCGCGAGAGCAGTTCACTGGCGTGCCAGCAGGACGAACGATCTCTAGAAGGCCATTGGCGACGACCTCGATCATCCGGCGGTCACGGGCGTACGGATGGGCTTGCTTGTATACCAAAAACATCCTGTAACCGGGCCATATACCGGGCTGTTCAAGTATCCCGCAGGTGAAGCGGATCGAGCCGATCAGATGCGCCCTGCAAGGCAAGTTGTGCATGCGCCCGCGCGTGTCGATTCGGTTGCAATTCAGGCCGGTTTCGTAGCGCCAGCAGCATCGATTGTTGTGCGACATGAGGCGAGGGCACCGACGTCATCGACAAAGAAGATTGTACAGTAGCCCGGTTATGCGTTTCGACCACGGTCTGGAGTAAGCGGCTGCTTGCTGGAGCTGCTCAACCTGTTGGGCTCAAAGCGCCGACCGAACGTCCCGAGACTGAAGGCCAGTAGCATTTCGCAGCGGCTGCCAGCACCGGTGCCGAATACTTCCGGTCATGCCATCAGCTCAACTGTGTAGTTGCAGAAGGTGCATAAAAGGCGCTCGCAAGCACTTGCAGGGAACGTGACAAAGCAGGTTATCGCTGAACGGCTCGTATGAGTCGGGAAGCTGGCGAGCAGGATGCAGCGCCTTGATCCCAAATCTTTTCCCTGCTTCATCACCTTCGATGCCGTTTTCTGAAACCACTTGGCCCAGTGTTGTGTAGTACACTTGTGTGCGCATGAACATGCGGTAACGGCGAACGCCGTTGAACCAAAACTGTATTCACACGACCGGCGATCCTCTTTTGGTCGTGTGGTGTAAGCGCAGTATCAAACCGTTCGGCGGGAACGGACGGAACGGGCAGCCGGTGCCGGGGCGCATTCTGCACCCGCCGTGCGCACCGACCACCACAAAGCGCCGGCTCAGTTCCAGTCAGGTTTCGCCGTGAGCACAATCTCGTCAGCGGCCGTCGTGCTGGCAAACTCGATGTCGCCGACTGCCTTAGCCAAAATCTCCATCACCTCTTACCATACTGCGTGAGGTGGTTCAGCTAGGCAGGCCGTGCTTCCCTTCAGGCCAACCGCGCGCAAACGTCCAGCGGGACGTAGACGGCGCCACCATCGCAATGCATTTGATGCATTTTGTGATCTTGCATGACCCACATCCAGTGCCGAGACAAACTCCTGCCGCTGCGCGTGATTCGCTGCGCTCCCCATGTAGGTTGTCAACGATGCGCTCACCCGAACGATGCGGCAAGGGTGAAAATGAAGATGCCCCCTCTCGCCAGCCGCACGCCACGTAGGGCACGCTCTCCCGTGCAATGCAGCGCCTGCCCTTGCAACGGACTTGCCCACTCCTCTTGCCTCTTGCGGCCCAACCGCTGAGGATTTGCTCAACTCCAGCGAGTCTGCATCGACTTAGCCGTGCTGGCGCCACAATGAGAAGAACTCTCAGCGCCCAGCGGCGAAGCACGGAACGGCAGACAGGCGGGTGACCGGGCGCCCGAGTGCAATTTCGATAGGCTTGCGAGGGCGCGACTGAGGAGCCACTCACCGTTGTCCTTATTTGTCTTGGAAGGACTGTAGCCTTCGTGATTCGAACGGGAAAAATGCCAAGTGCTTCCCTGACACCGCCTAGTAATGCAGTGACAAATAACCTGTCCATCGGTGCTGTTTGCAACTGCCTTCCCGCTACGTGCTACAAACCGAAATTTTGACTTTGCACCCGAAATTGGGCGAAGTCATCCGAAATAAAGACTTGCACATAATGAGCGCACGCCCGACTAAGCATGCGCTGAACCGGATTTGGATGAATGCACATCTGGAACAGGCAGAGAAGCTGCAAATCAATAGAAAAAGAAGACCTTGGGAAAAAAGAAAAATACTCGGCGTGCGCACTAGCCAGTAGCAAGATAACAGTTGAGAAAATCGCGTGCTCTCACACAAAGATGTCATGCGAGCAATTTTCCATACAGGGACGTTTGAGCCACGATGAGGCATGCTGGGCCTCGGAAGCGCGGCAGACCCAAACAAACTCGGCTTGCAGAGGGGCATCGTAGGGCGGGGCACAGAGGGCTCTCCGGGTGGGAGTGGGTTGGGTTGCGGGGTTCGCGGGCCGGGGCTGTCTCATACACATTTTCTTCGTGCGGTTTCAACGAATCAGTTGATTGACTCTTCATGCCCATTTGTCTTAACACGAAGCTTCGACACTGACTTCTCCTGACCTGACATAATAAAGAGTGTCTACCGGATGATGCGCTCCGGGAGCGCGTGATACAACATTTTCTGATTTGAAGACACTGCCTCTGTCAGCCCGTTGAACATGTTCCGCTTTGGTTGAATATTTCTGCCTTCGCTGTACGACATGGCACTCCGCAAATGTGAGCCACAAAGGTGTACGGACGTGTTGTAAGACATTGGAACGGCATTTTAGCGCTGCAGTGGCAATCTGAACCCTGGGCAATAACCTGCCATGCAGATTGCGTATCATGCTGCAGGGGTCGCTGCAATTCCTTGCGTTCAAGCATACTGTCTTCGCACTCGAAGCTTCAGCTAAAGCAGTAGGTGTGGTGTTGATGGCCTTCCCGCAAAGTGAACGCAGCAAACTGATTTTGTGGCCTTGCTGCAGAGTGACTATAGAGTAGCCAAAGTAGGTTCGAGAGTCTTGCCTCCGAAGTTACGGCAGCCTGCGAAATGACGGAAGACAAGGTGGTCTTGCGCCAGTGAAAGCAGCAGACGCGATTAAGGACCCGGACCACCACTCAGGCTCGTTCTGTGAATTATAGGGGCGGCCACCTAAGATGGTTCTGGGCGCCAGGTTTCCAATACCCAAGCCATGTCGGCCCGTCTGCTGAATGGTCGGGCGAGCGCTGTGTAGACAGGCGCAAACACAACGAATTTCCGTTGCAACAAGGAACGGAAAAAGCTAAGTGTACGTGCAAGGCCGAGACCTCTCTGTTTTTAACATTATGGCAACCAAAGGTGGCGGACACGTGTTGCAAAACCTGCGGATTTCTGGCATCTAGCTCCAGGAGGGCCTCGACAATTCCTGCGAGTCAAGTCTATGGAAAGCTATGGCAGCCGGTCACTATCTGGCACACCCACTTCAAAACAAAGAATAGACTTTTCCAACCAAAGGCAAATGCAAACCAAAAGAACAGCTGAAAGCACTACACAGAAACATTCACGCCAATCCTACATTCCAGCTCTCCATCCCCTTGTACCTCCTTGCGCTGCAAGCCCTCATTTACCGCAATTCCGGCGAATCTATCGTCTGGCTCTGCGGCGCCTTGTCGCAATATGACGGAAGCTGCAAGCCTCCTGTCCCCCCGAGCAAAGCCGTGGGGGTAGTGTCAAACGAAGACCAAAGTTTTGGCACGGGTGAGAATCATAAGGCACCAGAGATCATGCGACTTAAACTTTACCACCAGGTCTTCGCTTTGATGGATGCTTCGACATCGCATTCACATGACTTGTAGACGAAGATGTACCTGTTACAGCTCAGCTGACTGTGTCAAGTCGCAGTGCACCTGTGCAAGGGTCACATGAGGAGGCAAGGTACTCCGGCAGGCCAAGCCTGAGCGTCACTCCACAGTCTAAGACCCTTCCAACAATGCGGACTTGCTTGCGCTGTTCGCTGTTCTTCTTTTACTGAGGACTTGCGCAACTCAGAGCATTGCCAAGCTTGACAGGCGCCAGTACCAGCGGGCCGGAGCGTTCCAGAACCTCCACGGAAGCTGCATGGAGATACAAACAGCTGGGAAGGAAAACATCTCAGAATGCGACCACTGCCACATGATCTTCTGCTGAAGGTGGGAGAAAGTCTGCTTGATCTGCCAATAGTTGCAAAGCACTCGTGGCTTTTGGCCACGGCACGACGGCTCGAAACGATAGTGCGGCACAGCGCAGCAGAGCACAGCGCGACGCCTCTCCACCAGGCACCTCCAAGGGGAAGGACGCAGCTGGTGCTCTGAGATCTGAGCTCTGGGCTGAGACCTGGGATCGGTTTGCCCACCAAATGTGCGCCTGCCGGGCGGATTCTACTGGTCAGTCTCTGATATTCTGTCGTTCCGCTGTCCGGGACAGAATCATTCGAGCCTCAGGTGGGACCGGATAGCTGCCGAGACGAAGTTGATCCTGCGAAGGTCATGTCTTGCAACCTCCGACTCATCTTCCGCCCGCACTTAAACATGAGCAGTGCATCCAGGACGGTCCCGTGCGCTTGTCTTTCTCAGCGAGAGCAGCTCTGATGTGCGCGCCACAGCTCGACGGAGGGACCTCGCATTCTGCGAATTGGGAAGTCGCTGCGAGTCTAGAGGCCAAAAGGACCACAACACGCCAAGGAGCATGTTGAAATTATGGCTTCAGCCACACGAGGTTGCTGAACTATGATGGGTGTGCTCCGAGCCAAAATGGTCACCCTCGCTGGTTGGCAACATGTTTTGCCCATGCCATGAAATCTTCAGAACTTGATGCAACACCGATCTCCCGGCTGTAAATGAACCTTCAAGTGGCTGTTTTGACGGGCCTGTGTCTCGCCTCAAGGTTCCTGCATCACAACAGCAAGCCGCATGTTTACAGCTACTGACTTCCGAAATTGCACATGCTTCTGGGCATGGGAAACACATGCCTGTACATTAGCGTTGCCTCCTTCGTGCCCTAGCCTGTGGCACTCAGAAGAAGGATGCATTCCATCGAACATCTTGTTCAGGAGCGTGTTTACTCCACAGTCCCTGTTGCGGGGCGTCCGGGCACCGTGGGCTTTCGCCTTTGTCCCACACAATGGCCGGAGCAAGCAGCGCGCTTGCACCCCAATTCTGTGCTTGTCAGGCCTGCAAAGACTGGAGACAGGCCACACGAGGCCAGCATGTACCAGCATGTGCCCCCATGGAACATGCCAAGCTTTGGACGAACATCTTCTTGCGCCGTCGTGCGGCAGCTGCACTGGGTTTGGCCTTGGCAGGACTAGCTAACGGCGGCCTGTGCTCCGGTTACTTTGCAGGAGTGCAAACAGAACACAAAAGGATCGTGCTGCATCCTCCTCATCAACACCAGTTCGGGCGATCCTGGCCTGACAGTTCTGACAGAGCTTTCGGATGCTTTATTTACTACGCAGCGGGCAGTCACAGGGCACTGCTGTTGGTCCTGCATCCGCTCTGCCATTCGCGCTTCCAAGGCCTCCGTTCACACTTTGCTTGTTGTGCCCGGGATCAAAAACTAAGTGCAAGCTTCTCCGACCTCGGTGTCTGAACGCAGAGACTGAAGCTCCTGAAGTAGGTCTGCACCCGCGAGCACCTTGTCCCTGCAAAGCAAGACACCTGGACAAATGGCGCAGAGCTGTGATGGTCCGCCTGTCTCCGGACCGCTTGGACTTGGATTTGCCAGTTGGGCTTTCTGCTTCTTGAAACCTGAGGAAGGCCAACGGAACCAAGAATCGACACTGTCTCCTCGGCCCTATGAGGTGTGCACTCCTCACAAAGCTGTGCATCCGCCTGTCCGGAATGCTCCAGGCGCGGTCAAAACTTCAAGCGTGCTGGGTGACTTGTTAAAGTTCCACGATTCTTAAGTCATTCTGTCGATGATGCATTTCGCACCTCTGGCATTAAAACAACGCGATTGGATCTTGGTCCGGCGCTGTGCTCACATGTTTCACTCTCCTGGCCATCCTTCTGTAGGATTTGGCGGTGCGCGGCTTGGCTGTAGTATTGACGAGAGACTGAAAGGGCTCCCTTGGTGCTGCGCATTGTGCAGTCTGCGTTCGAAGGAAACACTCGACGGCCAGAGCACATCGAGAAACCCAGCCACGTGCTTGGTGCTTGTCAGTTTGCCATTCAGGACATACGTTGCTTGCAATTCAAACTCGACTGTTTTCGCAGGCCCACAATCCCAGAGTCTCGATCTGCATTGCACACAACTGCAAGTAGCTTCACAACACGTTCGGAGCACTCTGCTAGTCTAGTCTGCCAAAGCGCGCTATACCCAGCTGCCTTCTTCTCTTCTGCCTGACAGGCTCCGTATCTCAAGCTCTGAGCCAACAGCTTTGTCTGCGGGCCTGCTGCGCTCCGAGATCAGCGGTGTGGCTTGCCTGGCTGCTTTCAGACGTCGAAAGCCGGAAATTGCTTTCATCAAACCCGCTCAAGGCTGAGGGATGACCATCAGACAACGAAAGGGGTGGGAGGGGGAGGGAGAGAGAAGGAGAGACACAGAGAGAGAGCGGGAGACTGAGGGAGGCAGAAACAGACAGAGACTGATACCGCTTATGTGTCGCACTCCGCTCCTCTGCCTCGACTGCAGGCTTCGCTTCGGCAGACCTTTCATCGGGAGATATCGGGGGCGTCGTGGCTCAAGTGCTGCTTTATATGCCGGTTTCCAAGGCTAAGTAAGGCTGCCGCTTTATCTCGTCCTCGTGCTCCTTGTCCTCACCCCCACCTTTCGCCTACTTCGGGTGCCGAGCAATTCCAGTACTTTCCAACGGTTCATAGACAGCGGCATCGCAATGCATGCAAGTACTCAGCTCCGTTCTGCGTGACCACCACCCTTCTTCTTGCGCTTCTTCTTCGCCTCTTAGCCATGTCCGTCTTTAAACACCGCCGGTTGACCAAGATAGATATCGGTCTCGGAGCTGCCCTACTCTGCCTCCGTCTGGTTTTCTCGCTCACCTGGGGGAGTTTCCCAAATGAGTGAACTAATTGTGTCATGACCATCATAGCCCGCAGAAATGTGCAAAGGTGCCGCCTTGCTTGGAGGAAGCGACTTGCCTTGCTTCTGCTACACGGTAACGGAAACAAGGTTCACTCGGCGAGAACGAGCCAGCCTGCTTTGCGACTGGCTTTTCGGATCCCCAGAAATAGCCTGCAAAGGCGGGGTACGTTTGCCACTCCATGACCACAACACCAGTGCTTCTGAACACCCGCCGCAGATACCCCACTCTTGAAAGACCATAAGCGGGAACGAGACATGACTGAAGCTGAGCCTTGACCTTCGGAGAGGTGCCCGCAAGACTCTTAATTACGCTGCAGCAGGACAGTTCAGCCGATTTAATCCGACAATATCGACACTTAGTCCTAGCCGCTGTGCATCAGCGCTACCAATCCACGCTTTTGCACAACCCTTCTAAGTTGGTGCACCGCAATACGGGCAGAGGCCTCCATGACCTTCTGCATTCGCATCTCCACTGCCTCCAGGCTGGAGGCGCATCGGTTGCGAAGACCTCTTCCGTCCCGTTATGCCTTGCAGCCCTCCTCCAGGTTACCAACAAGCTTCTTCCCCATGGACCTTACCTGGTGCAACAAGGCAACTGTGATTTGCAACGGCCTCCGTTCCGGATTCTTTTTCATACGGGACACATACGCATTCTATGACACAGGAACAGGAAGCTCTTGGGACCCCCACCTGGCGGATCTCTGACAGCACGAAATCCTGCAGAGAACCGAGCCAAAAGCCGCACCGCGACTCACAAGACGCAGAGACGCAGAAACGTCCTGCAGCTCGGAGCTGATCGTGGGAGTCTCTTTGCTTGATCCCTGATGGAGAATCGAACAGAACGGATTGTGAAAGCACTTGGCTGCATGTACGGGCTCACGACGTGCCTGGGAAGCGGCAGCTGCAGCGCGATGAGTCACCGCTGCCAAGTCTCGGCCATGTGTCACGTGTCGGTCTCCATGCTCACGGATCACGCGTTCCGAGCTTCGCACCGTCCAGGACTCTTGCCACTTCTGTCCGAGCCCTGGACAGCACCTCATCACAGTAGGAAAGTCAGGATGCTCCCTTAGATTCTCAAGCCGCCACCTGCCTGACTCTGCTGTCGAAGGCCACCTCTCATCCCTGCCAAGGGCTCTTCAAAGGTTGCCAAAGTCCTGCATCGCCAAGAGTTTGCATAAGGAACTGTTGAGAAGCCTCGCTTTCGGTGCGGATGCTCTCAAACGATTCTGCCTCCGGCTGGCCACCCCGGCAGCGGCCGTCCTCCTCAGGGAGTCGGAGACGTTCTGCTGGAGTTCCGACTTGTGGGCCTTCTGGGAGGCCTCCGTACAATCAAGAGGCTGTGCTGAAGGCCCTACATGGCCCTACAGTAGCCGAATCTGCCCCGATGCCTGAAGTGACGTCACAGTTCTGCTCAAGGCAGCGCTCTCCTCCTTGGCGCGTCACTTCCGGTCCGAGAGATGGTCCGAGTCTGCGTTTTTTCAGGCTCTGGCCTGCAGCTGTGCAATGGAGGACATCTGCACCTGCCACCCGGCGGCCACTCGGCGGCCACCCGGCGGCCACCCGGTTCCACCAGTCTGAAGAATCTTTTGGGGCTGTCGGCTGTCGGAAGTGGTCGGACCTGCAGCTGCTCGCTGAGCTCGTTCATGTGCGTCCTCGTTTCCTGAAAATTGTTGGTGAAGTGTTTCTGTCTCCCTGGGTGCCCCAAGCGCAGAGACCCTCCTTCAGGCCATCCTCGACTGTGGGAGGAATCAGACCAGGCCTTGCAGAGGCGGTGACTTCAAGGCTTGCGAAAGAACCTGCTGGGGACAGAGCGGTGCGCTGCAGAGCAAGCCAGCGAGTGCCGAGTCCGTCCTGCGACGGGCACTCACTCGACTCAGCTGACTTTTACCTGGGCACCCAGTCCTCATGAGAACATCAAGCATTGGTTGGAGGCTTAGGCTTTGGCACCGCTCCACCTCAACATCTGTTCACAGTCCGGGAAACATTCTCTCTCGCAACCTTCACGCTATCTCACACTACTTGTACCCACAGCAGATTTGAGTTTATGTCATCGGCTGAGCTGCACATGGCCGCCATGACTGTGTAGGTGCAGGAAACCTGGCTTCGCACCGACCGCACTGAGAATCATGCCCATGCTGCATTGTGCTCCCGCAGCCACTCAGCCTGCCGCTGCTAGCGACAAGACTGCTTACCCTCTCCAGAAGTGCGATGGATCTCTGCGACACCTGCCTCACTCTCTGCGATGGCGAAGCGTTCGAGCTCGAAAGCCACAGCCTTGGAGTCGCACAAAGCTCACAGAGTCCAGCTTGAGCCGTGTCAGCATCACATCTAAGCCCGCTGCCACTGGCTCTGCACTTTCATCAGCCTCAATGCCAAGCATTGCAATCGGGTGAGTCGACAGTCGAAAACAGTAGTGACAGGGGCATGGTGTTGTGTGCGTGCAAAGGCTCTGTGAGGAGGTTCGAAACTGACACGCAAGCACGCTGTGATGACTTCAGCACATGTCGAGCTGGATGCTGTCAAAATCTCTGCAAAGCTATTGGTTTTCGCAGCCCGTTTCGTGCGTCTTCCATTGGCAAATCGTGTGCATGTCAAGGCGTGCTGTCACGAAGCGGTGTCTTCGAAGTGTTGTGGCAAAGCCTTGGCGTGTTCCTCGCTCTTCGAAGCATCTAACGGAGGATTTTCATACGGCACGGGAAGGTTGTGCGCGTTGTGTGCATCCCCCATTTTCGGCCTACGTAGAGTGTGAGATTTCAAATCCTGTCTGGAGCTCCAGACTGACTGCAACAACTACACGACTTCACGCACGTGCACCATGCTGCCATGAATAACATACTGGGCACTGAGGCAAAGGCAGCACGAAGCGTCTGCTCCAAGGAAAGCTGCTCCTGACACATGCACATGTGCACAGAGAGCAGGATCAAGCACATGGCGACGTGTTGCGTCCAACGGGAGTCTGAAACTACAGTCAGTTGTCTGTACTTATAGGACGTCAAGCAATCCATAAGAGAAACTATCGAGACATGCATCCTGGCATTTAGTACGCGAAAAACTGCCGACATGCGCACTACGTTCATGTTCGTGTTTAGAATGCCAAGTTGGGACCAAGTATCGAAATGCCACAAGTATTGTTCTGCAACACAAGAGACGTGACTTAGAGAAGAGTTACATGTACATTGACATGCACCTTTCGCAAGTAAGTCAAGATTTGACTATAAGATTTGCATAACATATGACTCGTACGCACAAACAGCTATGTGAAAGCATGAGTGCAGATACTTTCCAGACTTCACACTCACGGATGTAAAGTGTCCCCGCATAATTGTTTTGGCAATGAAACGACTCATCGCCAGGCTGTAGGCTGGCTGCTGCGAACATGTTGTTGAAGAAAAAAAGGACCGAGTCAATGGCATGCAGGAAACATATTCAACATGACTCGGTTTGGAACTGCGTGCACCATCCCTGTATGTGGCTCCTATGTTCCAGCGTGATTGTCATACACCACAGAAAACACTGCAGAAACGGAGAGTTTGGTTTAAGGTTCGGAGGGTAGGTTTTCAGGGACTTGTTTGTTTCGAGTGCGCGGGCACAATGGTCTGTCGCCCGTCAGCATTGACTGCTTTCAGAAGTTACATGTAATTATCTAGCGGCTCTAGCGATTGTAAGTACGCATGCCTCATGGAGCGATGTCTATGGACGAGAATTTTCCATCTCTCTCGATTTTGGCAATAGGGTTGTACCCTTCGATACAAAAGAGCGTTGTCCATCCGTACTATAAAGGAGGTTCCATGGACCGCCTGTATCTACTGCAGCGTAGGTATGGCAAAGAACGCGCTGTGTATATCCGAATGTGAAGGAGGAGCATCTGATGCATAAAATCAAGTCGCTGTACGGCCTCTGTCAGGCATGATTCCGCCCAGTGTGGGCACGCGAGCCCATAAAAGTTACTTGGTACTCTAACTCTAACGCTTCTACATGTCTGTAAATGTCCTAGTAACTGGAGTCTTTGTTGTGAGTAAAGCTGGGAGGGGTGGGAACGCGACGCGCTGAAAAGGCGGGGCCGGCTAAATATTCGTTAGAGCAATCAGCGGATGAAGGGTCCAAGACCCGATGGCAAAAGGAGGATTTGATTTGACAGTGCGTCGAAGTGACTTAAAGTGAACAGCGTTTATTTATTGAATTTTGTGCGGGCGAGAATAGCACGCTATCCATAGCGTATCTGAGGATAGATAACACCACGGACCTATAGACTGTAAGTTTCCAAGATGGAGGAAAAGCAGAGTGAGAAAGGAGAGGACGAAGGAGATTAGAGGTCGAACCGGCCTGCGAAACCCTGTAATTTAGACTTTTCCGATTCGAGGATAATGCTCCTAGATACACGCCCAAGTATTTGATTTCCTCTGAGAGGGGTACCGGTTTGATATCGTGATTGTGACCTGAGCAGAAGCGACAATCACAAAGGACAACCGAGGGCGGGTGAATAGTATATACGCTGGTCAGAATGTAAGCGGAGATGTTCGCACTTATCTTGATTACGGGTACGTCCTCTGTTCTGACCATGGTGTTGTATAAGGTGAAAGAGTCGATTTGATTGTGTAGCTGAACAGGAAAGTAAGCCTATGTCGTCTGCGTATTCCAAATCCCAAAGACGAGAGGGGAAACATCCGCTCCCGCGTCACCTGGCTAACAGGACGAAACTTGAAGACTGAAAAAGGCCGCTGCTTACAAGGGGGGCTTACACTCCTCATCACCAGCGAAATGGTACAACTGAAACGGAATATGTAATAGCCGAGCATCATGTGTCAGGGCTCGGCTCCTGACTGGCGCGCTTACGTCTTAGTCTTCGGACTTGCTGCAAGGTGGGCAGCGGTGCCGGAGCTCGCCTGAAGCCCCGAAAGCATCGTGGGCACCTGACGCGACAGGCTGGGTGAAGATCCCAATAATCAGGAGGACTAACATGGAATGGTAGTCCATCAGGTGCTACCACCATGAGAGATATATCACGTTCTGTGCCTCTGAATAACACAGCAGATCCCAGTGTAGCCTCTCCACCCTCGGTCGCTGATCGCCCCGTTCGTTGGAGGCCCTGGTGGCTGCTCGCCTGACGGGTCCGTCGTGGTAGAACAAGCTGCTTTAGCCGGAGGGAAGCCGGACAGGTGGCGACGCTTCTGCAAGGATCCCTGGAGGCTTGCTCGTTGGCGTGGTAGTAGCCGAACTGGAGGGAGCCGCCGGTGGGAACGAGGGTGGCTTCTTCTGCACCGCCTTCTCGTTGATAGGCTTCACTCCGGTTGAAGTTGGCGGCGCATCCTTTTCCTCCGAACGTAGCTGTGTTGTCTGGGACCACTGTCCGGCACCGAACAGGCCACCCGTATCAGCAGCACAAGCTGACGGGTCCGCATCAGGAATGCCGTAGTCCTCGTTGGCGATCTCGCCCATGTAGTCCTGCACTGTCGCAACCAACCTGACTGCAGGTCCCTGACTCCTCCACACTCATTGAGTTTCCCGCCGACTTGGCCCGCTGATACCGCGACTGCAGTCATCATCATCTTGGCTCTGGACAGGCAGGGGACCGAACATCGCTCCCACCGAGGTTTCTGCATCATGGGTGGGCTGGTCATGTCACTGACGAAAAGCATCCAGACACTGAGCCACTGGCTGGCTGAACGAAGCCGCTAACAGGCTCCTGTGTGACACTCGAAATTCGGCTAACGTGTCCATCAGCACATCCTTAGAATCCTTGCTCAGCACATTAAGTGCTGTCAGCACCACAGGTCTCACACGCGAAGGTCCTGACATGGCGGCGCGAAGCTCTAACCTGAAGGCTGAAAAACTCGAGGTGCAACGGCTTCAGCAGCTGCTTTTCTGTTTGCTTCCTAACTGGTAGCGAACACAGAAAGACTTTCACACGCCTAACTTGTCACTGTGTGCACACGTGCACTGCCCTACATATGGCGTGTGTACAAACAAACGCATTCTGCGCACACGAAAACACTTGTAAACAGTACATCCCTCAAACGACTTGACCGGAATATGTTCAACAAAGCCTCAAGCCAACCAGCTTTGTTCTCCGGAGGAGGTTCTCCGAGATTGGTACCATTCCCCTCACCACCCCGAAGGGGGTCGTATTGGGCTCTATTTTCCCAAAGAGGGATCGATGTGGCAGTAGAGCCAATGCTTTGCATGTGTAAACTTCTTCCTCATCTAGAGACGTGACGAGCACACAGACACACACTCACAGCGGCCTTGGATGCCCCCAGACACAGCGATCTTCTGGAGGGTGGGTTCCAAAGTTCCAGGACTGTCGGTTGAATTTGCTCTGGCTTCAGTGACATACAACTTCTTCTCGTACCATCTCGTACCACAGGATGGCAACTCCTGACTGCTTTAGAACAAGCACACTCGTTGCATTTCCACCCCAACGCCCACACCCACCCGCAACCCCAGTCACACCTGTACGCTTTCACAGACCGACAGAGATGGCATTGTCGGGCGACTGCATGCGACACATGCAGCAGGCTCCTTTTCCACGGTCTCCAAGGAACCTCGTGAGGTACGGCGCCAGATGAGCATTGGAAAACAATGGGAAGATCTGGTGGACACAGGCGCCCTGCATGACACTCATGGCAAGTCAGTACAACATGCTTCTCCTCTGCTTCTGTTCAATCGACAATCGGACGTTTCACATACTATGTAAGCAACGGTTTGACTCTGGCATGGCCAAATACGTGGGAGAGCTTCGGTGCTAAGAACCAATCCGAACCGTGCGTTGGAGCACTGTAAAATCCCATTGCTACCACAGCGCTCACTTTAAATCCAACCGAACTCCCGCTCCAGCTGGGCCCTATCCAAAAACCTGGGATTTGTCAAAATTGCATAGCCCACGAATGTCACTTATCTGCCATGTGACGTTTTATAGTGTCGAACTCGTCAAGCACCTGTGCCTCCGAAGGAAGGCAACAGCAGTGGAGGGCTTTGGGCTGAAAAATGTCCGGCCGACAAGACAGAGACGTGCTCGGAATTGAGAGCCTTGGAGTCCTGCTCTGCGGACCCATAGGTACTTCCGTCTGCAAAAGCGCAACTCGCGCTGGCCCTGTCCTTGTCACCAGGCTGGGCTTTAGCCTTCTTGGACTTCGGCCTAGGCTCAACACTTGGCAGCTCCAAGGCCAAGGTACAACTCGACATGAACCCACTCCCTGAGATCATAAAAGAAGCTGCCTTTCGCAGTGCAGGGACCCGGCTCTTTCAGCTGATGCTTCAGTTGCGTCTGCGCAGTGCAGTGTAGCTAACAGAGGTCGACATGGATCACAGCATGCCCAGTGGCTTGCCGGGGGCCTCCAGACCGTCCACTGCCAGCAGAACACCCTTAACCTGACGGCTCCGTCTCGTCGGCAGGAGACTGTGCTTGAGAGAGTTGAGACGACTAGTAACATGAGATACAGAGAACACCCATGATGCTGCGAACAACACTTCTGGTTTTCCTAGGCGGATGCAAGATGCAAGGACCGCCACTTGAAACAAGAGTTGGCCAGGCCAAACATGACCGAACATCCAAGTCACAGCGGTCCCGCTTTCGCGTGCACGCTGATTCTCAGAATCCGCGGTCTCTGAGCTGTCTTCAGGGGCCAGCATCGAACGAGGAAACTGCAGCAAAACTGCCCATTCGAGTGCAGTACTCCGCTCCCCATTCTGGCAGAGCTTTCGGGATCGCCATCCATGCTTTGGGGCCCTCTTCCGCAGATTCCTGGCCTTGCCTGGGCAGCTTGAAACTCATGGTGCCGCCAGAGAGCATCGCTGCCCCAACTTTCAATACGTCCAATTTCTTCCGTAAGCGATGCCTCCAAAATTGCAAATTGAAGTTGCCGAGGTGGACGAAAGTCAGCGAAAGTAGCGCCCACCTGTAGAGCTTGTTGGATCTTCAGCCTGTGCTCGGCCTCCCAAACCAAGTCCGGTAACTCCCCTCACGCACCTTGCATGCGGTGCCATGCGGTGCCTGCTTCTCCTGGAGCTTTTGGAGAATCAGGTCGCCCATGGACTCACCCTGCAGGAACCGAAGCAGGCAAAGCAGGGGACGAGATTTGACAAAAGCACGTTGGCACGTGCCACCTGGAGCTCCCGGTACAGGCGCTCTTCTTCGTCCAGCTGTGGAGAGCCTACCAGCACTTCCGTGATGTGCACAACCAAGGCAACCCCCGTGCAAAGCGACCTGACGTCTGCACCTGGCTTTCAGGCACAACCCGTGTTCTAAAGCGACTCCGACAAGCCGGCATCACCGTTTGCTTCGTCTGGCTCTGCTGAACCTTAGAGCTCACCAAATCTCCAGAGGTGCCTGCAGACGGCCTAGTGAGCGCTATCCCCCTTTCTGCCAGAGCAATGGCAGTCAGGCACTGAGATGCTGGCGCGTTTCATGTCTTTCCGTGCTTGCATCAAAGCCTGCTAGTCGTGGATCCTACAACCGGCCGCCGGTGAAGCTGGTGGGACAGGCGGTTGCGGCACCTCCTCCATCTGTTTGCAACCTTCACTCAAGCGACGGACCTAGACAGGGCGGGCACCGCCTGAATGCTCAATTTGCCACTTACCTCTTGCTGCTCGTCTGCTCACATCTGCGGGGAGCTCCCGCCCCACGCCCTGTCCCTGCCCTGCCTGCTCGGCAAGCTTGTGGTTCCTTGCCGCGCGCGAGCTGAGCATTGATCTGTGTTGCCCGACTGCATCTTGCTGACCAGGAGCTCGCTGGTCAAACGAAGGATGGTCTCTTCCTTTCCTCTTTCCTGCAATTTCCACGAAGCCCAAGCTCGCGAGCGGGACGGCGTCAGCGCAGGCACTTTGCTAAGCTCTGCTCCATCTGAAGAAAAAAGGAATTATCAACCGGAGCTGACCTTACAAGAAAGAAGCAGACTCCAAAATGACGCAGTTTCCAAGCAGCGCTGGTCGTGAGCAGATTCTCTGAGGCGGGTTCTGTGGGGCCTTTGGCGCTGGCGCTGGCTCCGGCACCTCGCCAAGAGAGCAAAAGGCGCACGGCAGTTTTGCCACTTTGGCTCCGGCGCCGCCCCCTGCCTTTGCCGCCACATCTTCAGCCTCCTTCAAACGCTCCGTCAGAGCCTGCCAGAAGGTGCCCCACTCACCGCCTGCCTAGCCCTACGAAAAACGCGCAAGCCGTTTCCTGGTTCTCGTCATCCAAGGCCTGAAGGAAGCACCATTCATCCGCACCATGACTAAACTCACTGGACGGACATCTGACACTAGCACCCTTGCAGGCTAGAGCATGACAACCAGCCTCGCACGAATTGAGCAGGGAGCGGTTTCTCGCCACCAAATCCTTCGGCTTTTGGACATCTTATTGAATCCCTAGTGACTCGAGTGCAAGTGCTCTTCAAAGCAGACACATCTAACTTTCCAGCTCCTCTCTACGAACTGGAGTCTAGATGCCAGAGCTGCTGTGAAACAGTACTCCTTCTGTTTGTCGGAGACTGTACTGCAAAAAGGTGCGAATTAGCTGCAGGCATCGGACCCTTCGTCCTTGCCTGCGTGGCAGAAAGCAGGACGGCATCTGAGCCCTGCTTCTGCTGGAGTGGGTTGGATCCAAACATTCACAACATCAGGACCATGTCTATCAACGCATACAAACCCACTCCAGTGAAATCTGTGCATACGACGATCACTTCTCTGCAGCTACTAGCGGCATCACATCCAGCCGCAAGAACCTTGGGACAAGTCACAAGCCCATGTCTCAGAATGCAAATGAACGGCGTGCACCAGTGCAGTCTAGCCTTCTCTCGCACTCCAACTCTTGGCCGTGGGACACATACTCTTGGTGTCGCCAGCCCCTTCGAGCTTTATTTCGTGAGCTGCCTGCACAGTACACGGTTCCGCAATGTTCCGCACACAGCAGTCTGAAATGCAGTGATGGCCTTGTCGTCCACTACTTCGCTAGGCTTGTCCTGCCGTGAGTTCTTCATTCAGATGCATGATCAACTCAAGGCAAACCCGGGAGCCACTTCTTGCAGGCCTCCCCTAGTTTGCAGAAACCCAGGTCCGTTAGTTTCAAGGCGGCGATTTCAGTCCACTCAGCTTTACCATCATCGTACTTCCTGGGCTGTGACCGTCATGACTTCAGGCACACACTCAAGTCACCGAAGACACTGCGGCCAAGATGCACGAGTGCTTCCTTACATTTGCAGCAAGCATCAATGATGGATGCCCATGTCAAAGAATCTTGCAACAAAGGATCTGTGGCTTTCTGCTCTAAGACCTTTCCACTCATACCGCTGCGAATGTTGGTTACCTGTCGGAGACAGGGCCGGCACTGACCGGGTTGGATCTTTTCGCCGCCGGTCAAACTGCTAACGCTGAGTGGTGAACTTCGGCGCCGGTCTGCAAATCCAGGGCGGCCACAGGAGTCTGGTCCTGGAGCAGATTCAACCCATGAAGGGTTCTACAGTGGCATTCTAGATCGGAACAGTGCCAGAAGTGGGCATTGGCATTGGCACGGGCTGGGGTGCGGGGTGCCGGGGGGCCGGTGGGGGAGCCTGGGGTCGTCCGTCCTCCTCCGCCACCTCCTCCTCGTCGCTCTCGGACTAAACTAGTACTGATACTAGCAGCAGCGGTTGTTGGGACTAGTTTCGTTCGTATTAACATTCTTGTCCGTCGTCTGATCGTTAGTGCCATTGCTGCTACATCGCTTACTATGGTAATCAAATTATGCATCGTACTGCTTCTTCGGCTCGTTAGCCAGAAGCTGACCCCCAAATTTCCCATCTGCTTGAGTTTGTGGCGACACGTGCGGGTCAAAGCCGCAGGCGCTTGTCTGAGATGCAACCGGGGTTGAAATTCAAGATACCTATGTGGCCTCTGTGAGCTTACTTCACAGATTGAGTGCAAGCTCAGGCAAAGGTATTGCTTCCAGCAGGACGCGGGCTGCGGACTACAGCGGCGCAGGAGCTATGAAAACGCGACTCTACTCTAGACCTTAGGGTTCCACCCGATGCGGTTAGAGCTTCGTTCGCCTCCCTTTCAGAGCTTACTGGCTGCCGGCACTGCGAAGCAGGCGCTCTATTGAAAAACTACGGTCCCCGTAGCCCACCATCTCGGCAGCAGCAGCCATCACCTCCACAGCAGGAATTTCAAACCACCCTGTCACTTCTGAGGTCTGAACTACCTCCTTGAAACTTTCAGGTTAGACCCTGGACCCATGCAGCGCCTTCTCCGCAGCAGCTTGAACCTGGCTAACCAACGAAGCCAACTCTGCATCTAAAGCTCAACACAGACGAGAGCCTGCTCTGCCACAGTGGCCTGCACCGGCCACGAATCAGCTTCATTGCAGCTTCATTCGTCTTCATGAGAAACTCTCCGGTCCCGTCCTGTTCCTCTGCCTTGGGCTCCGCAGGCTTCTCCTCCCCAAACCAGACATGTCGGATTTGCCCGGATCAGAACGCTCGGCCATTCCACGCAGCCTCCGGTTTGGGCTCTTCCTTGACAGGCTCAGGCTCCTTCTTCGGTGCAGCCTCTTCAGGTCCGGACGAGTTCAAGCTTCAAAGACACAAATCCTTGAATCTCTCAACCGTGTTGGATGCCTGGGGCTCAGCGGGCTTTGCCTTGCTATCTCCACAGCCCATCCTTGTTGCAAGCATGGTGTCAGTGCGGCGCCCACGGAAGAATACCACTGTCGTGAAACTGCCTTCCGAGATTCTTGAATGGCAAGATGTGAGCACTGCTGGTTCTCGCGGCAAGGGTGGCCGGATTTGATCGTACAGCTGCGGCAGATATGTGAGCACTGCACTAAAGACATCCACGGAGCACGTCACTCTCTCACTTCGGACCTGCACGGCCTTCTCCTTGGCCCGCAAACTCTTCATGAGCTTGTCTGCCTCATGAGGGAAGCTTGCACGCCCGGATATCCCGAAATACCTGGTCCCATCATAACATGCAAGGTGGTCCTGCCGGACTGCCAGAAAATGAGGATGCATGGCTATACTATACAGTGTTACCTGGGTGCACCGTTTGCCTTCTCCGACGGGAGATGATGCAGCAGCTCCAGCGCCAGGTAGTCAACCTCCGACAGGGTGCGTGAAGCAGGGAGGAGCCACACCCATCCTCCAGGATTTTACACCCTCGCGGCCTCCTCATCTTCGGCAAAATCCGACGGATTTGAGATGGCGGAGTGCCTGACGTCTCTCAAGCGGTCTACCAGCCCGCTGTCGGAATCAGATCTGGGGCATCCACACAGAAAGATTCTCATCATCCTGGCACCGACAGCAGCGGCTGTGGCTTGTGCTGGATCTATGGGCCATTCAAAACAGAGCGGTTCGTCAGCCAATCTGCCAGCACCTACACCCACGCGGCACAAGAGAAACACTGCGGGCTGACCGAATCCATCATCTGATGGTTTATCTCGGCCTTGACAACTCTGAAAAAATCGTCTTGCAGACTCTCTTGAGACGTCTAAGCTCAGCACCATGATGACGCTGCTGGCTTTTAGCTGCAGTGGGCGAGGAATCAGCTTTCCATGTCTACCCTGCAGATAGAGGACAAGCGTGTTGTGAAGGTTCTTTGCATAAACTTGCAGCTCTTGCAATGCATTGCAAACTGTAGTTTGAGTGCCGTAGCGGGGTGACAATGAAAGAACATAGCTTGAGCTATGTTCAACTTTTGCTGCGAAGAGTCTTGCTAGGTTTCAAACGCAGGCCGCAGAACCAACCGCACTGGGTCTTGCTCATGCCATTTCGCATCATGAGCTCTCATGCTCGTGATTCACCCACGATCTGCGAACACAGGGCACACGGCGGAACTGAAGACGCTAGGAAGGATGCTCCGCCAACGATCTCATCATCGCAGGGAAGCAATGCACATACACATCGTTTTGCCCCTGGAGGCAAAGTCTTCGAACTACAGACTTAGGGGAGGTTATGGGAGGTCGATGTTGCTTCTGGGAGGGAAGTCGCTAGCCTGAATTTAACATGTGCTGTCCTTGTTGATCAGAGCTCATGGCGCTTCAGCGGATGGCCCTCAGTATTGAAGAAGTACTTGTCCATGTCGAACGCTGCCTTGGCTTGAAATGCTCACTCAGACATTAACGAAGAGGAAGCTCAACGACAAAGGCGAGCGGTAGTCCTCTCACATGAGTGCTCGGGAGGTATGCTCAGGTGATGCTGCAGAACGACTTCAAGTAAACGGCTCGTTTTGCTGAGCTTGCCAGTGACTCGATCTGACTGCTCGGGAACCGTACCACTCGGCAAGTCTACTTAGAATTTGGGTTGCGGCACGTGTGGGCTTCTAGACTTGCAAGGTTAGGGCGGGTTGCGCTGTTTCAATCCTTGAGAGTTGTCTTACACCCGCAAGCCGCTGAAACTCCCAAAATCTAGACCCAAGCTATAAAGCCAGTCAAGTTGATATCTCGCGATGTTTAGAAACCATCGGCGGCTTAGGCGGTTTACAGTAGGATCGGATTCGTTGTCCAAGCCATTCCGACGCTTCCATCTCGGCCATCACACACCCACCACTGCACAATGATCACATCAGACAAACGACCTTTTGAAAGTCCCTAAGGCCCTAATGCTGTCAGCACATCCGCTTGCGGCGAGCCTCGCCGTTCCGGTGACTCCGAGCACAGACAGGACAGGGGCACGGCAATACACAGACAATATCGGAATCCGAAATCATCCCCAAAAAGCGAAAGCGGTACATGTGAAAAACAGTTGTCCACACTGTTCTAGGTGAAAACTTCGCACGCCATCATACCGTCAATCTTGCACCCAGCACAACAACAGTTTGCATTTGGTGCTGCCAACCATTGTCGCTTGGCCTGACCCGGGTAAGAAGGGCCAACCGATCTCTGCAGTGACGACAGAGTCGGGCATCAAGGTTCGTTTGCTCCCACCAAACAAGGCTGCTGTCGCAGGCACAGCTTGGCAAAGCGAAGTTGCTCCATCGAGGAAACGCTATCTCACTATCATGTCTGGGCCATCATGCTTGTTGGTCATACGGAAGAAGAGAGGCAAGAATACTCTTGCACAACTGTTCTTCATGCGAGGGGCTCACCGGTCGCCGTCCGAGTTGGGCCTCTTTGCTCAAAATGTCCGAGTCTTGTAGGGCTTTGCTGAAACGGCTCCCGGCCCATCTGTGCGGAGCTTGGTGGTCTGTGTACCATGCTTTCCACTCGCGGCCATGTGGTCGAAAACGTCTGCACACAAATGACTGGATTGCGGCACTGTCTAGCACTGCCGAGTGGCTGCCGGGGAGAAGAGGAGGAAAAGATACTTGAAGGTTTCCTTGACATCACAATGAAGCTCAGGCCAAGGTCACAGAGTTTCCAATTGACCCGGAACATGCTTCTTGCTAAGCCAGCTGCTGACATTACGAAGGTCTGCATCTCGTCCATCTTTGATGTCGGGATGGCCTTGAAATGAGGGCTGCGAGACGTTGCTGCATGTATTGGCACGATGTATAACGAAGTTGCATGCTGCGCTCCGGGGCTGTGCATTGCAATCATAGAAATGAAGCGAAACACAATTTTCCCGCGACATGGCGACATGGACAGATTGTATGTCACCCGTCTGCAAGCGAAACGGCCTTCACGTCACGTACGGATGCAAAGCCATTCGGAACCTGCCAGTCATAAGCCGCAGTGGTCAACGGCTGTGAGAGAGTTCGATCTGTCAACATTGCTCTACCGTTTCAGCTGCGAAGCATACACGCATGTTCTTCACCATGCTCCAAACGGTCTAAACACTGCAGAACAAAGAAAAGCCAAAGACGCCAGAACCTTGAAAATGTCATAGAGTTCGGAACGCCTTCGCATTGTCCAGAATGGCATTAAACATTTTCTCGCCCCATCTGCGATACCTGGGCTTGGGGTTCACACGCAGTGTACCTGTAGCGCCTCTGCGGCAGCTTAAGTCATGCCGGATGCACTTTTCATCACCAGTCAACCTGTAGAGATAGAACAAAGACTCTGCCTTATCCAGCATCAGACTCGCTTGCAGAGAACTCAGACAAAGAAACTTCATCTGCACAAGGATTTTGTGCCGTAAGTCGCTGGCCGTCTCCGGCCGCAGAAACGAATGCCTCCCATCTGAGGCTGCCTGTCACATTCTGACACGTCACGACTCGGATGCAGTCATAAATCGCAGCCTCGATAAAATCGTGAGGTGGCTTGGCACTAACCTTGGCTAACGACCGTCGAGGCAGTGCAACGCTTGGACTATTACCCAACTGGCCAAACTGCTTGATGCGAAAATGATTGGCTTGGACACACAACTTCCCTTCGGAATGAAGCCGATTGGCCTTGCTGAACTCTGGAGCCAGCCCTGAGGGACTGGAAGTCCAAAGCTCCACGCAGGAAGCCGTGAGGCCTTCTGCTAGGTGCCACCACCTGGCAGAACACCCCGCTGCACATTTGCAGACACAGCCCCGACAAAGGCTGGGCAGACGTCGCGTTTCGGCTTGCGACATCTTGCGCGGGCAATTCCATGAGCCTGCTGCCAGAGTGCTGCAACACGCGCAGGAAAGCCAGCACATGGCTGGGCACCCAGCCCAAGTGCTATCAACGCTGGCGCAAAGCAACTCAAGTGATCCTGCATGGGTGCATAGACAAGCACTGGACGCACTCATCACAGACTCACAGGACAACATGAAGGTCCATCTTCCAGACGACATTGCCGTCGGCTGCAATCTCAATCAACTTGAAGCGGGTAGTACCGGCCTTCTAGTCCGCATCAGGCCACTTCTTACACTTTTGAACACCTCGACACCCGTGCCTCTGCCGATTTGACCTCACTAAAAATCTAGCGTATGGGCAGATTTGACTAGCTGACAAGACTCGTCACGAAGGAGGCGACCGAAGCAGGCAGCGGGCGGACGATGCTGGGCAATGCATCCATCACCTCCAGGAAAATCTCCTGCCAAGTTATCCGGTTGATCGGTTGATCGCACTGAGAACTCCAGAGAACACTGATGTCCAGCCCTGTGTCCTTGAAGCGCATCTCAGACGGGCTCTGAAGCCATTGCTTCAGCAGGTACCTGCTTGTGTCGGCATGCAACTCAAAACCTACGATTTCGGATTGAGGCGCGGCAGCCGGTTCTAGGTCTAGGCTCAGTCATTGAAAGGTTCCATAATTGGAAAGCAGTGCAGTTGTCAGGGGATTGCCGCAGTTGAGGAGAGACCTTGCCATTTGCGGCCCCAGTACGCCCCAGTGACAACCTGAACCAGAAGATGGCCAACATCGCCAAAGAAAAACGAGGAAATGATCGAAGCGCTGGCAGGGGTCCAGGGCCGAATCTGCCAGATCGCGGCGAGGCAGCCGGATGAAAGCTGCATGTTTTGACACGTTAATTCAGTGACGGCCACAACTATGTGATCATCCACATCTCGCAAATCGTAAATACAACTGGAGCATCCGCGCAAAAAACGCCCCGAGGTTCTGTGGAGGGCTATTCACCCACAAAACAGTGATCAGGATCGAGGCCTGATGCCAGACAAAGCAAAACATGAAAAGGGAGCGCACTCGTAATACGAGTCTGCCAGTGCCCCGAACGCGAACTTGGAGGCAACAGCCTGCCGGCTTCATGTTTAACGACAGGGCTCCAAACGACCACCACACAAGGCACCTGAACTGGCATCATGCTGGGAGGAGACAAGAAGACGGGAAGTATGCCATGCATCCCTGTGGATTGGATGGCCTCACAAGGGGTGCCGCAGCTCCCGCACAGCTTCCACAAACCTGCCGTCGCGCCTGAAAGGCCTGGTCCGCAGCACCTTTGAATCGAGAATCTCCTGTCCTGAAATCGTCGAGGCAACTTGGGGAACCTATTGAATCAGAAAAAAAAACAACTGTCAGAGCTCATTCATTTGCAATGGTCCTGGCTGCCAGGCTGCGAAATTCGACCTGGACACTGCCAGCCTGGCAATCCATGCTGTACGCAGCTGCGCTGCTGTGCACGCAAGTGCCCTTTAATGAGACGGTTGCATGCGCCTCGGACAGAATAATGGGCTGAGTGCTGGCTTTGCTGATTCCACGAGCAAGATTGACGGTGGGCAAAGGTATCCTGGCACCATTTAATTTGTCAGTCTGCGAGGTGCGGCATGGGAGAGCTCTTTTCCTTGCACCAACGGCCATCCACCCAGCCTTGAATTCGTCTTGAAGGCGGGCAGCAGTCGATCGCCGAGCTCTTTCGCACGCTCCAGGAGAAGCTGGCATTGATGGCTTTCCATTTTCGCGACAGGCAAGAAAGAAGTCTCGCTATTCCCGCCTCTTTGCCTGACAACGTGTGTGCACCGAGAAGACCGCCAAGCCTGACTGCTGCAGAGTGTCGGCTTCTGTCTGCGCCGTTCTGTGTACGCTGAGTTGCAAGCGCCCTGATCGTTAACTCAAAAACCGACA